ACGAAAAGTATGAATGTCAGTTGCACCACAAGTTCGCCCTGTAGATGCGAGGAGATCAAAACCACAAAAAGCCCACCGCAAGGAAGGGATGGGTGGGGAATTCTGGGAGTTGAAGTCTACGCATCTTCAAGTGGCCAAGGTTGAGACACACTGCACTAGACCTTGTTAAGCATATCATGAACTACTGCAGTTTGCCTGGAGAAGAGTGCAGGGACATCTGGGGTAGTGGGGGGTCAAAAAAGTCAAGATGGCAGTTGCAAAGCCCCACCCCTTTATGCCAGGCATCACACGTGTGTAAAAAGAGAGCATCAACTGTGCCATCGCGCAGCCACACCCACCACCTTGGGTTTTTTTTCCTCTTGGCATCTTGCAGTCGCCAAGTTTGAAGAACACTGGTCTAAGGCGTCAGAAAATCAAAAACTCGGGTTGGTTCCATTTGTACGATGTAAGCACAGCCTGAGAATTTGGGCTGCAGAAACGTCTCGTGGGCTAGGAGCTGATGGGCGCCAGGCCTCCGAAGCCTTTTCCAGACCATACAGCCAACATCTGACACGGCAGAACAGCTGCCAACCTTTTCATATAACCCGGGCCTGCATCCCGGGGCCCAAGCGTCTGTCCGTGATTTTATACACCGGAGAAGGGCTCCAAGAACACACACCCAGCGCATGCATTTTAGACCAAGAACTGGGCCGGGAACCTTCCCTCAGAACTTGCTGAGTTTTAATATTCCTTTTAAGCACCCAGAGCTAGAATCTAAAGTCATGTTTCTACAGCTGCAAAGCCAGCATTCCAGGAAGCCTTTTCCTCTCCCGGGCATCAGCACCGGCAATAAAGAGGACACTGGAGCAACTATCGATGCTGCTTTAAAAGGCAGATTCAACCCCCGCAGCCTTTCCAGCCCAGGGTGACTTAGGGGGAGAGCAGCTTTCAGACGCGACCCACGCCAGATAAAGCCCCACCGTGCGATGTTCACGTCGCAGTTTCTGGCTCCCGCAGCCTGGGGATTTTGAGAAGCCCTCTGGGCGGGGTGCGCCCGAGCTTCTTGGAAGGCCGAGGAGAGACGTCACCGACAAGGCCAGCCCCGGCCGGCCGAGGAGAGCAGAGGAGAGGAAGGGGATTCGTCTTCCGGCGGGGGGGCCGCGGGGCTGGGGATGCGGCCGAGGCGGGGCAGCAGCGCCGGAGGAGCGA